CGTCGCCGCTTTTAAGACATGCTGTCTCTTGTTTTGGGGTTTTTTACAAAAATATATTGCTGGTATTAAAATCTATTTTTTACACTTTCATAGCGTTTTGACCCCAGTTTGGGAGTTAACTATTTGCCCATACCTGGAACCCTAACAGGTGGACCTGGGAACACTAGCAATCAGGATGTGGTTGCACACTCCTCAAAACCTCATGATCAAAGGCCTTGCGTCGGATGTAGTTTATCGTCTTACCCAGGACGCCAATGTCCTGATGCAGACTATTTTGTCTCTGAAGGGGTTCCGTACATCATGTACCAAATTAGTAGGTGAATTATTACAAGTATTAGATATGCATACGGAAAATTCTATTAAAGATTCGTTTACATTTGCTAATTACATGCAAAATGGTCTGTTAACTTTCATGACAAATTTATGCGTTCATTTGATATCACCTCTCTACTCGTGTTCCGCTTCAAAAGACAACAGACATTTGTGCTGATGCGTTGTATCGCAGTAATCTTTCTTCTTCTCCTATTCTTGTAACTGTTTTTCTTTTTTATGTTCCTTGTCCATTCAGGACGTAGGTAATCATGGCTCTCCACATCTTCCTGTTTCTTGTAGCTCTTAATAAGTTTTGTCTTTTTGTTATTTCTCCCAAACCCTGTTCTGCCATCCATTTGCTCAAGGTCATCAAGTATGCTTTCTTTTTTCTTCCAATTTCTCTAAAACCTCGTCATTGCTCCCATGTTCGGTCCATGGTATCCTCACTATCTTTCTGTAGAACAGCAATTCTTTATGCTTCAAGTCTCTTTTTCATCTTTGAGGAGATTTTCCAGCATTCGCTGTCATGCAATAAGACAGATATCACGTAACAGCTCAATTTTTTTTATGTTTCGAACGTAATTTTTCTGTCTCTTATTACTCTGCTTAGCTTTTGGAAAGCATCTTTAACCATCCCAATACGTGTCGCACTTTACCTGATCTGTTAAAACACTTCCCAGATATTTATATTTTTGTACTTGTTTGATTTTCGCATCTCCAATTTGTAATTTTCATTTTGGGATCACCCTTTTGCTGTAAGCCATGCATTCTGTCATCTTGTAGTTTATACTTAGTCCTTTCTTCTCGCTTTCCTTCGACACTTTCTGTAGGAGCTTTTCTAGTTTCCTTTCCGTGTCTGCTATCAACACTATATCATCTGCTTATCTTATGTTATTAAGATTATAGCCGCTAATAAAAAATCATGGTTGGACTTCTTATTCTCTCAGAATTACCTCGCTGTATATGTTTAAATCCGGTGAGAAGACACATCCTTGTCTTACGCACGCCTATGCCCGCTGAGTTCAGCTTCGATAATGTGATTTACTGGCAGATTGATGGGATTTCAATGGGTAGCCCTTTAGGGCCTGCAATGGCTAACATTTTCGTGGGGTTTTACGGGCAAATGTTAGTTGCTTGTACCAGTTACTTGTACTAGACCCAAATACTATGATTGTTATGTGGATGACAACTTTTGTGTGATCAATAGTGATTTGAACCCATTAATAAGTCGTATCCAGAGCTCCATTTGAAAAGGAAAATTATGATATTTTTTCGATTATAAGTTTATTATATCCAGAGCCGACCCAAGGGTCTCAAGTCCACCGAATCAATGATACGAGGTTACCCACTATACTACGTCTTAATTTTCATATGGTAGCATTCATGTAAAATACAAATTTTATTGTAATTTAATTGTGTACAATAAAGGATCATATGCAATATAGGTGAAAAATTCAACTAGAAAAATTTTAAATAAATACAATATATCTAAATACAAATTAGAGACATGTCACGATAGATTATTACATCTTAAATAAATCGACAATGTTTTGTGGTAATTTTTAGCATCAACTTGAGATTTTTCTTGTTAAAAAGTTGAATAATTTTAATACATTCAACATTATGGATGAAAAAATAGTGACTGTCTATATTTCCGAGGTGAGGTATTATGTACACTATTTACATTATTCGGAATATTGTCCTCATCTTTGTTGCCATATCTATCACAACGTTTCGGCCGTTGTACGCTCCGGACTTCTTCAGGTGGTTGGAACGTCGAACTGAACCCTTTATTTCGCTCACTGGGGTAGACTGTTCTAGTTCCACATGCCATGTCTAATGGATGTCAGTTATCTTCTGTTAATTCCCCTCTCAAAGTTCTCCACCGTCTTAACCAGGTATTGAACTCACAGTGAGCGAAATAAAGGGTTCGACATACCAACCACCTGAAGAAGGCCGGAGCGTACAACGGCCGAAATGTTGTGATAAACATGGCGACAAAGATGAGGACAATAGTCGGAATAATGTAGATAGTGTAAAAATAGTGAATTTGATACCAAGCATGTGCAAAACAATTTCACGGATTCAAAAAAAAAAAGAAAAACAAAAATGACGCCAAAATCCGCGAAAATTTTCATCCTTTAATAATCACTTGTGCTCAGTTTCAATTGTAACCTATATAAGTGCAGGTAGAAAAAAAAACTAAGATAGCAAGAATAACAAAGCACTGCCCGGGGCATTCACTTAGTCTTGGGTCGGGGCTAGTACGCACCGGCTCTGATTACTGAAACGCACGTGTAGTATATTATATACCCACTGGGACTCATTTTGTTCTAGGCCACGCAAAAATAATCTAATTAAGTAAGTTCTTTGTGGTTTAATGGCTTGCTCCAAGTTAAAAATAGGAATCGGACTTCATTAATAAAATCTTGTGCTATCCTTTTTGGAGCATCACAATGTTGCATTCGTACTAAATTCCATAAACTGAAGATTTGGAGTCCCTAAACATGGCCGATTTATTGCCGTGGTTAGTATGAGATTTTTTAAAGAAACCTCTACAGGAGTTAAAAAAAATAGCAGCTAATACGCGTATCATATTTTCTTCTCGGCCATTGGTAAAATCAGTTCATAATGATGGCCTAACTATACTTCAGAGATGTTCAGTAATTCATCACTTTCAGCGTCAGTTCAACGCTGGATACATAGGTAGATCCACTCAGCTATTGGAGAAAAGAATTGACCGACATGTGCAAGACTGCATTAAGAAAAGTGTACTTTTCAACTTGAAAAGTGTTCCTTTACATCCAGGTCTGCACTTTTAGAACATCACGTTAAAAATTGGCAATGAACATTAACCTTCTGTGAGCATATGTTGTCAATGTTGTGTGAATCACATTCCGACTATCACTTGAAAGTTCTTAAGAAAATTTATAAACAGAGACAACCGTCTTTGTGTAAACAAACAGGATAGTTACTGGGAATCAGTGTGCTCTGTTTATAAATATATCTACGGTAATATATTAATGATACATCTGTAGTTCTCAATTTTCCCCTCTTTGTTACGAGGGTGGACTAAAAAGTCCATAGGCTGACGATGAAGGAGCGATGCTAGACTGTGGGATCTTGCATCTTGCATTAATTCCAACTCTTCTTTTTAATAACTGCATTATTTCTTTCCAGGTAAACTGGTATCTGAAGAAGACATTGGAAGTAGCTAGCAGCGAATTCTTTTGAAAATGGACAAAATTTAACATCGTGGTGTTTCGAGTACCTGCAGAAAACAGGTTTATACCATTTCCTGTGGTGAATGATATTTATTTTATAATATTTTATTTAAGGTGGTTTGTTTCTTTCCTATTATAATGGCTTGTAGATTTTGGTGGGTATAATATTTTGGTATTTATTTACAAATATTTGTCTCATGTTGATAGTTGTATATTGGTTGTTTATGATGTGATGATTGATATGTATACGAATTACATTAAATTTAGACAAGTTAACCTACGAGATAATGTGATGTAAGTATGGTCGATGAAAGAATGCCCCACAATTACGAAAAATTACAAACTTTTGACATTAGATTTTCGTCATATTTAATAAAACCTTTTCTCTCACCCACACACTCTCTCTCACGCTCACTTTATTTATATACATGTTTATATATATATATATATATATATATATATATATATATATATATATATATATATATATATTTGTGAAGTGAAAAACGCTAAGTTTATGTACTGTGCGATTTAAATTTTATGATGTACAGGTCAGGGGAGGTAACTAAGTTATGAAATGTTTAAATGTTTTGTTTCTTTGTTTTTATTTAACTTTAAGATGAATACAATAATATTGTCTTAAAAATGATGAATACAACAATTTTGATCTTAGAAAAAACAACACCCCGATGATGATATTGTGCTAATGTAGAAAGTACTCGGAATAAATGAATATGTATCAACATGGTAATTTTCTATCTACCTTTAATAAGGATACTGTTGTTGCCTTGTTAGGACCAGAAATAAAGACACTCCTATTTATAGCTGGGAGAGTTCAGGCGTGAGTGGGTAAATTCCCATAACATATACTATGAAAATTGTCCGTGAATATGAAAGGATCCTATTGAAAATAAGTAGACAAAACTTGTCTAAGTTATTCAATGAAACACGTCTTAACAGATATATATATATATATATATATATATATATATATATATATATATATATATATATATATACATAAATAGAGGGGAGATTTTTATCAAATATTATATAAAATCTAATGTGAAAAATTTATAGTTTTTCATAATTTATTTTGTAGGGCGTTACAATTTATTTCATATCATTTAAATAACTCTGTTCTTTAAAAACTTTTTCATAATGATTACAAATTGTTCATCCAAGTATCAATCATACATCTTTTCCCCGGAGGCGTCAGTATTCGCTAATTTATCGACTCTGACAAGCGATGCGCCCTTTTACAAACTTGTCAATCTATTATGATTTGTTGTCAAGAAATCGATTCGTCCATTAGCATCAATATAAATAAATGAGTTTAGTTTGCGGCTGAAATCTCGCTGTCTTCAACAAAAGATTTACCAGAGAAAAGGGAAAACGGAGTAAAATATCAAAGGAGTGAATCCTGTCGGAAATGAGTGGGAAGATTTTTGTCTAGGCAAAAATTTAAAAGAGAGTGAAAGGAGGGGGGTTGAAAACGTGGCAGAAGAGAAGGAGAGACAAAAAATGGGAGGAATTGGTAATGGAACCACGTAAAGATATTAAAAATGGCAGTAGAAGACGTAAGAAAGAAAGAAAGAAAGAAAGAAAGAAAGAAAGAAAGAAAGAAAGAAAGAAAGAAATGAAAAGATAGATAAATGGGAATAAGATGGATAGATAGATAGATAGATAGATAGATATCAACTGACTGAAAAAGAAAGAAAGAAAGAAAGAATGACAGGTATTCTACATTTCAATAAAGAAAGATATTTTTTTTAATTAGGAAAGAAGCAAAAATGGATATTTAGAAAGAAACAAACAAACAAACAACAATTTAAAAAACAGAAAGAAAGAATGAAAGAAAGAAAGAAAGAAAGAAAGAAAGAAAGAAAGAAATGAAAAGATAGATAAATGGGATAGATAGATAGATAGATAGATAGATAGATAGATAGATAGATAGATAGATAGATAGATAGATATCAACTGACTGAAAAAGAAAGAAAGAAAGAATGACAGGCATTCTACATTTCAATAAAGAAAGATATTTTTTTTAATTAGGAAAGAAGCAAAAATGGATATTTAGAAAGAAAGAAAGTAACAAACAAACAAACAACAATTTAAAAAACAGAAAGAAAGAATGAAAGAAAGGAACGACAATTCAAAAGAAATAAGGAAAGTAAGAAACGACTATTTAAAAGAAAGAATGAAATAAGGAAAGAAAGAAACAAGAATTTAAAATAAATAAAGGTAGGAGGAAAGAAAGTTAGACAGATTAAGAATGAGAGGGAAATTAAAAGAGACAAAGAGAAAAGAAAAAATGAAGATTACGAAAGAAAGAGACTAAGATTTTAAAGGTGAAAGAAAGAAAGAAAGAAAAGAAAAGAAAAGAAAGGAAAAAGAAAAGAAAAAGACAAGAAAGAAATTGATGAAGATTAAAATGAAAGAAAGAGAAGATTAAGAAAGAAAGAGAATGGAATAAAAAGGAAAGAAAGAATGTTCTTCAGCATCCATCTTGAGATATTTAAATATTGAAGATTCGTAAGTGATACAATAGATAGCAAGCCCACCCATTAGGCTACTACGATAGGATCGATTTTTACAAGGTACACATTACGTGTAACCTTGTGCCAGGATAACAATTGTAATTTATAATTTTAGTCATATCACTCTGTAAAATGTGTTGTAAACTTTTCTCACATACCATTACTATAGCAGTGATTTCGATTCTTACTAGGTACCAAACATTTTGCCATACTGGTCAAAGATCGGTTATTCTTGCGATACTGGTCAAAGCTTGGTTATTGTAGCTATACTGGTGAAAGCTTGGTTCTTCTTGCCATACTGGTCAAAGATCGGTTATTCTTACCATACTGGTCAAAGCTTGGTTCTTCTTGCCATACTGGTCAAAGATCGGTTATTCTTACCATACTGGTCAAAGCTTGGTTCTTCTTGCCATACTGGTCAAAGATCGGTTATTCTTACCATACTGGTCAAAGCTTGGTTATTCTTGCCATACTGGTCAAAGCTTGGTTATTCTTGCCATACTGGTCAAAGCTGGGTTATTCTTGCCATACTGGTCAAAGCTTGGTTCTTCTTGCCATACTGGTCAAAGATCGGTTATTCTTACCATACTGGTCAAAGCTTGGTTATTCTTGCCATATTGGTCAAAGCTTGGTTATTCTTGCTATACTGGTCAAAGCTTGGTTCTTCTTGCCATACTGGTCAAAGATCGGCTATACTGGTCAAAGCTTGGTTCTTCTTGCCATACTGGTCAAAGCTTGGTTATTGTAGCTATACTGGTGAAAGCTTGATTCTTCTTGCCATACTGGTCAAAGATCGGTTATTCTTACCATACTGGTCAAAGCTGGGTTATTCTTGCCATACTGGTCAAAGTTTGGTTATTCTTGGCATACTGGTCAAAGCTGGGTTATTCTTGCCATACTGGTCAAAGCTGGGTTATTCTTGCCATACTGGTCAAAGATCCGTTATTCTTACCATACTGGTCAAAGCTGGGTTATTCTTGCCATACGGGTCAAAGCTTGGTTCTTCTTGCCATACTGGTCAAAGATCGGTTATTCTTACCATACTGGTCAAAGCTTGGTTCTTCTTACCATACTGGTCAAAGATCGGCTATACTGGTCAAAGCTTGGTTCTTCTTGCCATACTGATCAAAGCTTGGTTATTGTAGCTATACTGGTGAAAGCTTGATTCTTCTTGCCATACTGGTCAAAGATCGGTTATTCTTACCATACTGGTCAAAGCTTGGTTATTCTTGCCATACTGGACAAAGCTGGGTTATTCTTGCCCTACTGGACAAAGCTGGATTATTCTTGTCATACTGGTCAAACCTTGGTTATTCTCTCCATAATCAAAGCTTATTAAGTACTTTGTTTGATTTAATGATCAGTAAGCTGGTCTTGTAGACTATTAATTCTGCAGTACGTTCGATCCCAACTTAATGCCGCACATTCATTGCCGAGTGTGAAACTAAAATATAATTTTAATATTACGAGAAAGTGTTACCAGAATAATACAGATACGTAGTTTAGATTTCGCTTTCTTATATTTTTAATCATTTCATCAAGGGGTCACTGAGGGCGAGAGAATATGAGAAACGGAAAACTTTATAAAGGAGAGCGAGCAATAAAAGAAGAGGAAATAAGAAGGTAAAAGATAACGATTGACATTGCATTTAATTTTTTTGAAGATCAAAATTGACTGGGAAGATAGAAGCCAGAAGAGAGTTTCACAAGCAAGTAGTTCAATAGAAGAAACTGTTAACATAGAACTTACGGTTACATCTAGCCATTTCATCTGTAAAATGATAAAACCTTGCTGCTAATCTAGAACTGCACTTAAATTCATAAAATCCAGGTACCAAAAGGAAAAGCTCATCAAGACAATTACCATGAAAATATTTATAGAAAAGGCACAGAGAAGCTACATTATGGTAGTGGGAAAGTAACTGCAGCTGGGATGTTGAGTCAGGACTGATAACATTGCAGATTCTTCTTTGTATTTTATCAAGGATCGTTAAATAAATAGAAGAAGCACTAGATTATATGCAGCAGTAATATTCAAAACATAGACGAATAGTATACATACATATTTAAGATAGATTCTGGCGAGAAAATTATCTAGCACGACACACAATTTCCTAGCAGCAGATCTAGCAATTGATTCAATATAATCTTTATGCTTCATGTCAACGGAAAACGTTATCCTGAGAAGGCGCAACGAGTTACTCTTCTGGAGGTTAGCATCAGCCATGCTGATGGAAGGCAGAAGCGGTTCTCTCAGATGATTAATAGAGAGAAATTTTGCTATGCAATATCAATCCTCCTACATGGAAATGAATGCTAGACAATTTCCTCAGATAGGAAGTGGAGACTTGCAGTAACAATGACGTTGATCTACAAAAGAAAGCTGAGAATTCCATAGACGGAGCATGCGAGAAAGAGGGACAGCGCAAGTTACGAGCTATGAACTGTGAATACCAGAATTAATCAAGTACAGAAATCTGACGATCTTAAATCAGAAGACGTATAGGCGATCTCAAATCAAAAGCGAAAGATGCCTTCCAAAAGCTAAACAAAGTATTAAGAAAAAGGAAAATTCCATGAGATGACATATGTAATATCAATCCTCCAATATGGTAATGTGTTATATAGGAATAAAGTGCCGCTACCGACACTTGAGTTTGAACATAGATCGCCAGTGAGCAAACACAGGCGATCCCATTATTGAATCAAGTGCATCACGTGACCATAGAGAAAACGCATATATTGGAGTCACGTGTCGTCTAGATTGATCACTACTCTATCTTCTATTATTATAAGGACCGTTATTCTCTACTCTCTTCACTATACTATTTCTCTATTCGGATCACTATTCGGCGGTTACGATTCGAGCGAATATTATCGAGCAAGTACTATTAGTGCGAGTGATATTCGATGCCGTCTGACACCAGTATTGTTCAACGGCGTTACTATAGTTGTATCTGCGATTACAAAGTCTCTACTACAACGAGCATTGCAAAAGTGGCAACGAGTATTCGTTTGTATCACAAAACCGAGTGTTCGTTGAGTCACAAAATACTGAATACTGGACAATCTACTCACAAATGAAGTGCTGATTTGAGGCCACAGAAATGTATGTCACCGGAAGAAAGCTGAGAGCTGAGAACACTATGCACATTCTGAGTAACGATAAAGTTTAAAGGAAAATAAGAAAAAGAACATTTGTACTTTGAACCAGAGAGAAACATATATATATATATATATATATATATATATATATATATATATATATATATAAGATAATCCCTAAGGAGCCAGGCAAACCTACCTATCTTTTCATTTCTTTCTTTCTTTCTTTTTAAATCTCTTTTTCTTTTTTTTTTCTTTTTTTTTTTTTTGCTTTCCTAATTAAAAAAGATCTTTCTTTATTGAAATGTACAATGCTCGTGGAGTTCTTAACTCCACCCACAAACGTTTTGGATGTCAAAGATTTCCTTCACCTTGACTAGCCGCCAAAGAAGGCTAGAGAGTGTAATCTATTAACTTCTTGCTGGAGGGAGTGAATAGATGTATTCATTCTTTTCTCAAGTGTTGTCCGAAAGAAGAGGGTGAGAAAGTGAACGCAATATCGACTGATAACAAAATACTTAACTGTTTATCCAGCGACTTCTGTTTTATATTTCCCACTTACAATGTGCGTGTATTTTCCGACTAAAGAGTTCGATTCGGAGCAATGTTACATACACCTTCTCGAACGCCTTAGATAGATAGAAAGATAAACAACACTTATTTCAAAAGAGTCTTTGGTTGAATGTTGCTGGCTCAACTAAGGTACTGGAAAGATTTACAATACCCTGGATAAACTTCGTATAAGGAAGGCCGTATTTTTTTAAGCAAGACTCTGCACTTACTCACAAAGTTGTACGACCCAAGTCGCACCCTATATATATATATATATATATATATATATATATATATATATATATATATATATGTGTGTGTGTGTGTGTGTGTGTGTGTGTGTGTGTGTGTGTGTGTGTGTGTGCTCCTAAAAATTATTTCGGTTGAGCTCTTTGGGAAGAAAAATGAATTTGTAAACTGTGACTATTACTGCTGCTGATGCAAGACTCTTCATTGAGACGAATCGAGTTCTCCGGTGACTGGCGTGTCTGTCTAAAAATAAATACGTCTAAATTCACCTTCATCCCTACCGTGCGATAATGGATTAGGGGTAATATTTCCGACTGATACCAAATCAGTCAGGTTTCGATTCAGGCTTGATGCAATCGTATGTCTAGCCACACTGATGAGCTGCTAAACAGCCTATATATATATATATATATATATATATATATACCAAATCGAACGCCTTTATCGTCGTGTCAGGCACAGGAACGACTCCATTATTAACATCGATGTACTTAAGTGTAGCTAAGGCTACATGCAATGCTGTAAAATACATCAACGATGCTGTGTTGTCGTGCTCTAAAGACCTTTCTGTTCGGTGAACGGATTTCTGGCTTTCGGGGGTGACGCCACAAGAAATGCAAGGATTCCTGTGAAAAATATACCTCACCTCTTGGCGAATCAAATTCCACTAATGGAAAACAAGGGAAAAATATCTTCAGTGTCAAATCTGCCTCTTCCGCTTGCTCTCACTAGACAACAGTGGACAAGCAATAATAAAAATGGAAAAACCTTCTTTACACGCAAAGACAAACCAGGATGGCATGAAATAAAATGTAAGTAAGATTACTACCGATATACATTAGAAAGTAGTATGCAATATATATTCATTGTAGATGATAAAATGCTTTTTATCATAGAAATACATTGTAGTAAGTTTATTATAGAAATATATTGTACAAGATTTTACTTAAGCAATGCATTGTAATGGATTTTATCATTGGAATACACAGTAAGAAATTCTTTGTAGATGCCTTTCTCAGAGAAATGCGCTATACATTATTTTGTCATAGAAATACATTATAGTGACTTCATCATGGAAATAATTTTTCATTATTTCATCAAAGAAGTCCATTGCAATTTATTTATGATAGAAATATATTGTAAATGATTTTACCATAAAAATCATTAGATAAAAGAAAACGAATTGGTTAGAAATTCATGTAAACATCTAGAAAGATTGTTACTAGTACAATGTATAATTCATTTGAAATTACAATACCTTTGTGCATATGAAAGTGCACTACAAAAATAGTGCATGCCTTTTTAACTAGTTCTGATACATAGGCTTTTTTCATTCATTATAAGACATATCAGCTATTCTTCGGTTATTTAAAATCGAATTTTGTATGGGCGTGCAACAAGACAACTAAGCCGAGGCATCCTAGATATATAGTGTTATGGTGTCCTCCCTCTAAAAATTCTATGTTGGACTCTTCCGCCTACTATAAGATTAGTAGGAGAGAAGGCCTTGGGGGAACAGTCGACCAGACTGTTCATCTGTCGAACTCGAGCAAAGAGGAACCCGGACAAGGCTTTGCCAAAGGGCAAAGTTTCGTCCGGGGATGTATACAGACCCTGAACACGTTTGTGCGGGTTCTAAGGGAATATTTTTGGCTGAGCCTACGGGCTCGGACAACCCACTGTAAACTCAGCCTTGTGCCACATACATCCCTCGTGGTGGGGAGGGGCTGTTAAATATAACAGTCAAATAGATTGAACGCTTGGTCAACCGACACACACACACAAGTCGTGTAATGCTCTTCTGTTGTACTTAATGTTTAATATATATCTCTGTAACATTTTTGTTATTCCTTAGCCATTTACTTGATCACAACATACAGAGGCTTGCATAGATACAGTCTGGGAAAGAAAATGAAGATAGATAGATAGATAGATAGATAGATAGATAGATAGATAGATAGATAGATAGATATGAACAGTCTGAGATAGATAGATAGATAGATAGATAGATAGATAGATAGATATTTTTTGCCGTCATGTAGACAAATTATTTTTCTCTTAAAATTGCTGAGATACATTTAGTGGAAGCAAACCGTTAAAAACCTTTCCTTTTTGCCTTTTCATTTTTTTTACTTCATTTATTTATTAATTTATTCTTTCATCAGGTGATACTCGATGCATATTAGTGATATTACTTTCGTAAACCCGTCAGAGGTTCATTCTGTATTTCGACTGAAAGCAAAACCGAAATATCTCACTTGTTTAAATGAAAATAAAAATTAAAGAAAACAAGTCGTCGACATGAAATTGCCTTGGGCAAGAAAGAATCTGAAATTGCATATGAAAGCAAAAAAAAAAGAGACCAAAAAATGTAGATTTATAACGCACTGTGTTTGAAATCAGGCAAGCTAAGATTGAAGAACTCGTCTGAAATGAAACGAGAGTCTCGAATATATCTTCATCAGAAAAGTTACAATGATAACTTCCTACTGAGAAGATGATCGCCTCCAGGTTCTAACCATATAATCAGAATAACGTCACAGTTAACAAACAAATTCTCTGCTGCACAAAATCTTTACTGCAATAATTGCTTATAGAGTGAAATAATCTTCATGAATAAAAACTACTCAAACGTCTTTTTGAATGCGATAATATAAGAACGTGTAAAAGGGTTGAAATTAAAAAAAAAACTAAGACACGATTTCTACATTCAAATCCACAAGATCGAAGCGCCCCCAGGGGATCGCGATACGACAAATAAATTTGCTTGATTGGGCGGCCTATCAACACCTCTATGGACCATTAAATGCCGAAATCTAAATGTTTTGTACGCAATTTTATACCTTAAACTACAGATATTTTGTACATAATTTTATATTTTACGGATAAACGCATGTTTTTAGACAAATATGATAAAATGTATGATTGGTAATTTCGCTGCAAAATTGCATGTTTGTTTATTTTACACTTGTATTCATTGTCATTTTGCTATAAAAATGTATTTCTGGTAATTTTATTATAAAAATAGATTCTTGATTTTGTTTGGGGGTTCACTATTTTCCCATAGCAGGGACCCAAACAGTTGCTAGCACCCCAGGTCAGGGTGGACCTGGAGAAAACAGCAGTTAATAGGTAGTTGCACGATCCTGAAAACCTACAATCTCCGAATCAGAGGTTCGCTGTCTGATGTAGTTTATCATCATACCCAGGACGGACATTACATAAAGATTACTACTGTAAGATATTTAGTTTTAAGGCCGCCTGGGATAGATAGATAGATAGATAGATAGATAGATAGATAGATAGATAGATAGATAGATAGATAGATAGATAGACAACACTTATTTCAAAAGAGTGTTTGATTGAATGTTGCTGGCTCAACTGAAGGACTGGAAAGTGTTACAATACCCTAGATAAACTTCGTATATGGAAGGCCGTATTTTTTAAGCAAGACTCCGCACTTACTCACAAAGTTGTGGTGATCCAAGACGCACCATATATATATATATATATATATATATATATATATATATATATATGCTCCTAAAAAATATTTCGGTTGAGCTCTTTGGGAAGAAAAGTGAATTTGTAAACAGTGACTATTACTACTGCTGATGCAAGACTCTTCATTAAGACGAATCTAGTTCACCGGTGACTGGTGTGTTTGTCTAAAAATAAATACGTCTACATTCACCGTCATCCCTACCGTGCGATAATGGATTAGGGGTAATATTTCCGACTGATACCAAATCAGTCAGGTTTCGATCCAAGCTTGATGCAATCGTATGTCTAGCCACACTGATGAGCTGCTAAACAGCCTGTATATGGATATATACATATATATATATATATATATATATATATATATATATGTGTGTGTGTGTGTGTGTGTGTGTGTGTGTGTGTGTACCAAATCAGTCGGGGTTCGATCTAGCCACATTGATGAGCTGTGAAACAGTTTGTCTATGGATGACAATATATATATATATATATATATATATATATATATATATATATATATATATATATCAAAAATACCTTTATAAACCTTGGCGTTTCCTCATATATATATATGCTCCTAAAAAATATTTCGGTTGAGCTCTTTGGGAAGAAAAGTGAATTTGTAAACAGTGACTATTACTACTGCTGATGCAAGACTCTTCATTAAGACGAATCTAGTTCACCGGTGACTGGTGTGTTTGTCTAAAAATAAATACGTCTACATTCACCGTCATCCCTACCGTGCGATAATGGATTAGGGTAATATTTCCGACTGATACCAAATCAGTCAGGTTTGGATCCAAGCTTGATGCAATCGTATGTCTAGCCACACTGATGAGCTGCTAAACAGCCTGTATATGGATATATATATATATATATATATATATATATATATATATATATATATATATATGTGTGTGTGTGTGTGTGTGTGTGTGTGTGTGTGTGTGTGTACCAAATCAGTCGGTGTTCGATCTAGCCACATTGATGAGCTGTGAAACAGTTTGTCTATGGATGACAATATATATATATATATATATATATATATATATATATATATATATATATATCAAAAATACCTTTATAAACCTTGGCGTTTCCTCACACCAAAGCAAGATAAAAAAAAATCCATATGAACATACGTCTGCAAATCTTACGTTTTTGTGTTATTAAGTTTAAAGTTTATGGTAGATGTTGTTAAATGTACAATCCAAGATACAATCCAAAAATACTTTTACAAACTTTTGGGTGGGTCCCTGCTACCAGACCAAGGTAAAATGTCCATATAAACATATGTCCAAAAGGCCATTTTGTACTTCAACAGAGAAAATCATAACAAATATTTAAAATGTACTCGGCTTCCTTCTACACACAATTGCACCCGTCGGATCATTGACTGGTGGATTCTTTCAAATACTCCCACAAAATGTCAAATGCTTTCACACCCAACTCCCGCTAAACAGCAACAAAGTTTGATGTCTTGGCTGCCTTCGATTTGAAAACGCAAACAGCTGTGCAGCCGCTCGTCCATTACCATTCACGCGGCCGTATATAAAAAATCATGTCTGCCTGCTCACGATATGAACATCCTGATATTGTTAAACGAAACACTAGTACACTCAGTTAACACACTAGTACACACGTTAAACGTCGAAGACAGACTAACCTCAAATGTACACGAATTACAAATATAACTTAGTCTACATGACAACACAGCACCATCTACCGTAAACTTTACATTTAACATTTCAAAAACGAAGGATTTGCGAATATATGTTTATATGGATTTCTCTTCTTTTTCGTTTTTGTGAGGAACCCACCCCAAAATTTTGTAAAAATATTTTTGATACAGTCTATATATATATATATATATATATATATACATACAAGTATATAATTGGTGTATACGGAATGAATTCCAATAACCAACAATTACTATTCTTAAAAGAGTGCTCAATACAAAGTAGAGCAGATATAATTATTTTTTAAAAAAAAATTTATAACATAAATATGTTATAAAATCACTACAAAAATAGCCATTTTGTTTCAACACCCTCGGTGTCTTATCAAGTCATGATGTCCATATATATATATATATATATATATATATATATATATATATATATATATATATATATATATATATATATATATATATATATATATATATATATTCATTGCAACTGTTCTGATGAGCTTTTTCCCTGGTGCCGCGAATACATAAATTTATAACATAAATATGTTATAAAATCACTACAAAAATAGCCATTTTGTTTCAACACCCTCGGTGTCTTATCAAGTGATGATGTCCATATATATATATATATATATATATATATATATATATTCATTGCAACTGTTCTGATGAGCTTTTTCCCTGGTGCCGCGAATACATAAATTTAAGCGTGCTACATGATTGGCAACTAGGTCTCACGGTTTTATTATCGAATGAGCTAGATACAACCACTGTTTGTCTGTTTCTTTTCTTTCTATGTCACACCTGTGGAACTCCCTTCCGATTTTTTGCTTCCCTGATAATTACAATCTTCAAAAATTTAAATGGCTACGTCAGCCGCCATCTTCTATCTTCTGGAATCTTGTTCTCTTTTTGTCCTTTCCTCAATCCTCTCCATTCTCAGTCTTCTCTTCCACTTTCATTCCATGTATCCCCCGCCCATGCGTTCTAGTGGCAATATAAACTTACTTGGGGCACAACGACTTTTAAAAAATATATAGGATTAAATATAGACATCCATTAATTCTTTAGAATTTTCTTTCTTTATGTGTAACTCTCAGTAACATCTTGCGTTGTTATCGCTTTGCATGGGGTGAAATAATTTTTAAAAAAACATAGAATATGAGGGAATGAAAAAGAAAAGAGAAGGAAAAGGTTTTGTCTGCCAATTCAAATTTATTTTAAATATTAGGCTGTTTCGCTAAAATGAAATTTGAGGTAGGACATTGATTACGAACAGCCAGTTTAGCCACATCGCTAATTTGATTATTTTTTTACTTATAACTTCCCAAAGACACAATTAGTGCTTGTTTACAATCCGTGATATCATGATCAAAGCTTATTAAAGAAATCTCACCAGCAGTAATATTATCTTGATGTTGAATTTTTATTAACTGAAGCATTATCAGCAATTTTTTATTAATATTTTTATCTTAATTTTACTTGCTTTTTATCGTAACTATTCAAACTCAAATTTGATGGTAATATTATCTTGAATTTGTAATAGATCAAATCATTGTCAGTCATTATTAATTATTAACTAATCTTTATGTTAATTTTACTTGCTTTTCATTGTAACTATTCAAACTGCTATGCTACGGCCACTAAATTTGCAGATTATATCACCTTGAATTTGTATTAGATCAAACATTGTTAACCATTATTAACTAGTATTTCTTTTAGCTTAATTTTACCTGCTTCCCATTGTAGCTACTCAGACTGTTACTATACGTCCCTTAGGTTTACTACAAATATTATCTTATTTTTATTACATGAAGTATTGTTAAACATTATTATTTTTTACTAGTATTTCTTTCATCGTAATTTTAGTTGCTTTTCGATGTATATAGAGATTGTCAATCGACGGTCATTAGTTTTAGTAGTAATATTGACTTAAATATTGACTTAAATATTGACTTAAATATTGACTTAAATATTGACTTAAATATTGACTTAAATATTGACTTAAATATTGACTTAAATATTGACTTAAATATTGACTTAAATTTATATTAGATGAATGTCAGTGGTAATTGATTTTTCATCTTAATTTGAATTTTACTAAAATAACAATGAGAATAATTGTAATAAAAATCAACTAAAATTAAAGTCAAAGAATACTAGTTTAAAAGTAATAATTATTGACTGCACCAATATTGTTGCTTTTTCTTAAGGTCATAGTGTGTTTATTATAGGAATGCATTGTAAATGATTTTACTATAGAAATGCATTGTAAATGATTTTACTATAGAAATGAATTGTAAATGTTTTTACAAATAAGAATGCATTATAAATTATTTTACTAATAAGAATGCATTATAAATGATTTTACTAATAAGAATGCATTGTAAATGATTTTACTAATAAGAATGCATTGTAAATTATTTTACTATAGGAATGCATTGTAAATGATTTTACTATAGGAATGCATTGTAAATGATTTTACTATAGGAATGCATTTTAAATGATTTTTCGCTGTTTATCAACCTTTTGTAGATTATTTACAACCAGAATATAATTTTAGATTGTAAGAACTTTTTTAGACAATTATAAGTTAGAGATATAAGTCTTACTACTTAACCCATAGCTGTGGGAGAAGTGGTGAATTTATTCCTTTCCCAAGGGTATTTGCAGATAAGTGAATGTAATGAACCCAACGGGAATTATAACGCGGCTCTCCGATTAGCAATTCCAATCCATTATCCATTATAACCCCACACATCCAAAGTTATAGCACCTGGTATTCCTAAGTGATCACCCATCTATGTACTGACCAGTTTCGATGTTGCTTAAGTTCAGTGATAGTACGGGAATCGGTTTTTCGACGCTATATGCCCGTTAGCCAATATAACAATGCATTGGAAATGGTTTTACTAAAGGAAAGCATTGGAAATGATTTTACTAAAACAATACATTGGAAATTATCTTACTATAGGAATGCACTGGAAATGATTTTACTCAAAGAATATATTATTACTATACTACTGTATTGCAAATTTTTGCATTGCATTGCAAGTTGTTTTACTATAAGAATTGCATTGCAAATGAATTTGCTAAAAATTAATTGGAAATTATTTTACAAGAGAAATGTACCAGGAATGATTTTAACCTAAAATAAATTTATTGTGAATTCATTGGAAATTATTTTATTAT